AAAAAAGCAAAAAAAAAAACAACTAAAATTGTCTACTGCTTTAAAAAGTTTGGCAAGTTCTCCACATATTTTATAGATGAGAAGATGGAGGCTCACAGAGGGGAGGATTATTGCCCACAGAACCAGAGCCAGGTCTAGAGCTTCAACCCAAGTCCTCTGCCTTCTCTAAGAAAGCTCTTTCCCTACTGCTCAGTTCCCCATCTTCCCACACCTTTGGCTGCAGCTCAGCCCTGGCCTTCATCCCTGTGTTTACCATTGAAGGTATCGCCCTTCCTGACATGGATAAGGATGTCCTGATTTAAGGGGGTCTGGCAGTGAGTGGCAGTGGACAGGAGGGCTGCCTCAGAGGACAGGACACATTTCTCAGGCACTTGGAGTGGCCTTGTCCCTCTCTCTAGGCACCCTCCAAATCCCAGATCATGTCTCTGTGGGGTCTGGTCTCCAAGATGCCCCCAGAAAAACTGCAGCGGCTCTACGCTGACTTTCCTCAACACCTGCGGCATCTCCTAGGTGACTGGCTGGAGAACCAGCCCTGGTGAGTCCTGGCGAGGTCCCCTTAGTCTTCCTCTACCCATCTTCCTTCTCTTTAGAGGTTCTCCCCACTATCCATGGGTTTGGGACTTAGGACCTGTTATACCACATGTCTGTGCCCCATCCAGACCAGACTATACTTGTTGACACATGGAGACCGCACCCCTTAGGAGATTGAGCCAAAGAGGTGGGGCATCAGGGCTGGGCAAGGGCACTGGTCATAGCAGTGGAAGACTAGGCTTAAGGGCCACTGGTGAGGGCTCCCTAGAGGGAGAATTAGGAGGGGAAAGGAACTGCTGAGATTTTGGCTGTTGGGTGGAGGGTCAGGAGAGCTGAGGGAGCCCTGGCCTGAAGTAGCTACATCCTCATCTTCCCACAGGGAGTTCCTGGTCGGCTCAGATGCTTTCTGCTGCAACATTGCTAGCGCCCTACTCTCAGCCACTGTCCAGCGCCTTCAGGCCTCGGCAGGAGAGCAGGGGGAGGGGAGCACCATCTTGCAACACATCAGCACCCTGGAGGTGGAGCAGGAGGGGAGGGGACTAGGTTGGGTGGGGCTGAGGCGGAGCCAGGGTGAGCATCGGACGCTGGAAGAAATTTGGTTGGATGTTGGAAGCAAACTGGTGTTGCTGTGGTTAGCTGTTAAGCTAGCACGCAAATTAGATTTAAAAGGATGCAAATGCAGAAGAACTTCTAGGGTCCACATTTGTGCTGCCTTATAGTGTGTATGAATGAGGAGGACCTGGGGGTTGGACAGGGAGGGGGACAAGGGTAAGAGCCATGCTAACTACCTACCACCCTCATTTCTACAGGGCATATATCAGAGGGACCCCCTGAAGCTGGTGGCCACTTTCAGACAAATAATTCAAGGAGAGAAAAAAGCTGTTATGGAACAGGTATTGTGATAGCCAATTTCCCACCCAACTCAACTCTCTGTGTCTATAGTCTGAGCCATAAGAAACTAGAAAGAATTTGCTTTTTTTTTTGGTTTTTGTCACCGGGTCTGGGTTTGAACCCACCACCTCCCTGGGTTTGAACCCACCACCTCCGATATATAGGGGCAACACCCTACTCCTTGAGTCACAGGCGCCACTCATCTAGAAAGAATTTGAATCTCAGGAAGGGCTCAGTGCTCTAGGCCTGTGAACAATTAGGTCCCTGAGGTCAGGGTGAAGCCCCAGTTCAGGGAAACTTCCAATGAAGAACTCAGAGTAATGAGGCCTGAGGAGGATAGAGTTGGGGGTAAGGAGCTGCTTCTGCCAGAAAAAGGTCTTATCTTCCATGGGGTTCCAAAAGGTCAGGAAGAACTACCAGAGGGGAGAGAGGAGCTAGGGAATGCTCCTTTCCTGCAGAGCAGAGAGAGGAAGCCAGATGGAGAGTGGTAAACAGAGATGTCTTACCTCTGGGCATCTGTCTCTCCTGTGCAGTTCCGCCACTTGCCAATGTCATTCCACTGGAAACAGGAAGAACTCAAGTTTAAAACAGCCCTGCAGAGGCTGCAGCACCGCTTGAGGGAGACCCGTCTTCTCCGAGAAACCCTGCCGGGGGGTGAGGCTGGCCAAGGTGGGGGCTGGGGCCTAGGGAGTGTGTGGGAGTGGTCCCTTCCTGGACCTCAGCCTTGACTGAGCCTCCCATCTGTCTGCATCCCTGATTTCTGCCTCCACCCTCAGTGCCCCTGCACACCCTGATAGAAACTCCTGCGAGTGGGACAGGGTCAAGTGAGGTGAGTAATGGACTGAGAGGTAGAAATAGCTCTCTGTGCAGGTGGAGGGATGGAGGTTAGACCACAGAGAGATGGACAGAGGTGGGGTAGAGGAGGGCCAGAGAGGTGAAAAAGAGAGCTCTCTCCCAGGCCCTGGGGGGGAGGCAGTATGTGGCCCTGGCCTAGGCACCGACCTGCTCCTAGGCCTTGGCTGGGCTGTTGCAAGAGACCGTGGGGGAGCTGGAGGCAGCAGAAGCCCTGGTGCTGAAGAGGATCCAGATTTGGAAGCGACAGCAACAGCTGGCAGGAAATGGTGCACCTTTTGAGGAGAGTCTGGCCCCGCTACAGGAGAGGTTAGTGGGGGATGACGGGGATGCAGGCAGGCTGGGAGTAGGTACCTGCTATCCCTGCTGGAGGACCTGTAGGAGAGAGAGAGAAGCCAGGCCAGGGGACTGTGGAGTGGGACAAGAAGCAGAGGACCCAGTTCCAGCAGGCTGTGTACGCTGCTGCCAGGTGTGCCCTGTACGACTGTGCCCAGTGGAGAGGGCACAACAGAGGGCTTATTCCATCCATGCTTCTCTTTTCATGCCCTATGGCCAGAGAGATACAGAGCCTTTTCCTATTTGGTCTACTGAGTGGGACCCCTTACAGTGGTTCTGAACCCGTAGGTCGTAACCCACAGGGACTGTATTAAAGGGCTGTGGCATTAGAAAGGTTGAAAACCACTGCTTTACAGTTTGGGCAAAAGCACTGAATGTGCTGGCAGCTGTCCTGGGGGATGGGCAGCCAGCTTTCCACAGGAGGTCTAGGCAGAGAATGAACCCCTTGCCCAGATCCTAGGCAGGTCCCAGCACCCCAGGCAGCTTCAGTGCTTTGTGGTCACACCTAGGGCCCTCTCTACCCCTCCACACTATCCTGCTTCCTCCCTGGGTTCAGGGAAAGGGGTCTGGGGCTTGGTGCCTGTGGCTCAAGCAGCTAAAGCGCCAGCCACATACACCTAAGGTGACGGGTTCGAATCCAGCCCAGGCCCGCCAAACAACAATGATGGCTGCAACCAAAAAATGGCCAGGCGTTGTGGC